TTGTTCCGGAGCGCAGCGGAGGCGGGGCCTGCTGACGTCATCAAACTCTACTCCCACGAAGGTCACCTGGTGAACACGGGCCCTGACCTCACGCCCAACAGCCCGGCCACTCCGTACCGGCTCCATCTTGTTTGCGACGCCATGCAACGGTGAGATTGTTGTTTTTGTTGTGTGGTGGTGGCGGTAGGGTAGTGGTACTTTTTACCTTTGCTTTTTTTAGTTTTGAAAAGGGAGGAGGGGAGGTGGAGGTGGAGGAGGAGGGGGAGGGGAGGAGGGAGGGGGAGTGGGAAGAGAGGGGGAAGGGGAGGGGGAGGGGAGGAGGAGGGGGAGTGGGAGAGGAGGGGAGGAGGATGAGAGAGAGAGAGAGAGAGAGTAGAATTTAATATGCCTTTTCCCTTTTTTAATTGATGTTATGATATTATTTTTTTATTTTTTTTATTTTGTCGGTTTTTATTCGTGCATTATTCGTTTTTTTCTGGTTTTTTTCTTTTTTTTGAATTTCTGTTTTTTTTCATCTTCATTCACTTTTACTACTCTATTCTTTTTTATTTGTTTTCTATTCATCCTCTCCCCCTCTCTCCTCTCTCTCTCTCTCTCCTCTCTCTCTCTCTCTCTCTCTCTCTCTCTCTCCTCTCTCTCCTCTCTCTCTCTCTCTCTCTCCTCTCTCTCTCTCTCTCTCTCTCTCCTCTCTCCTCTCCCTCTCTCTCCCTCTCCCCTCTCCCTCCTCTCTCTCTCCTCTCCCTCTCCCTCTCCCTCTCCCTCTCCTCTCTCCCTCTCCCTCTCTCTCCTCTCCCTCTCCCTCCTCTCCCTTTCCCTCTCCCTCCCTCTCACTTTCTCTCCCTCTCCCTCTCCCTCTCCCTCTCCCGCTCCCATTCCCTCTCAATTTCTCTCCCATTCATATTTTTCATATATTATTTTCGTCTTTCTCTGTGTTGCTACCTTCCCATTTTTCATGCAACGTCTGACTTTTATCAACTTAATCCACGCCAGTTTTTCCCCTTCCCCTGTGCTTTTCCCCTCTCTTTATCCTTTCTATTCTTTTCTCATCCTTTATTTCATCCTCGCTCTCTACATCCATCCCACTTCCCTTCGTTCCCCCTCTCCTTCTCACTTCTTTCATCCATCTTCTCCCTCCCTCCCTCCTTCTCTTTCTCCCTTTCCTTCCTTCCCTCTCACCTTCTTTATTCCCTCCTTTTTCCCTCCGTATCCAGATTCTAATCCTTCATCCACCTTATCTCCGCATCCATCTCATCTTCCCTGCATCCTCCTCGTGTCCCTTGCATCCACATTCTTTCCCTGCTTTCGACTCCTCAGCATCCACCTCGTCACCCTTGCATCCACATCCTTTCAATTCATCCAACCCTTTTGCATCCACCTCATCAGTTCAGCATCCGCTCCATCTCTCGACCACTTCCCTCATCCTCCCAGCATCCACATCCCCCTCAACATCTCCCCTCATCCACATCCACCTTCCACATCATCCTCCAGCAAATCTCCCTGCCTGCATCCACATCCACCTACACCAATCCACTTCCTCTGCATCTCCCTCATCCTCCCAGCATCCACATCCTCCCCTTAAATTCAAATCTCCCCTGCCTGCATCCACATCCACCTACACCCAATCCACTGCCTCTGCATCTCCCTCATCCTCCCAGCATCCTTCCCCTTAAATCAACCATCTCCCCTGCCTGCATCCACATCCACCTCACCCAATCCACTTCTCTGCATCTCCCTCATCCTCCCAGCATCCACATCCTTCCCCTTAAACAACTGATCTCCCCGCTGCATCCACATCCACCTACACCCAATCCACTGCCTCTGCATCTCCCTCATCCCCCAGCATCCACATCCTTCCCCCAACCTGATCTCCCCTGCCTGCATCCACATCCACCTACACCCAATCCACTGCCTCTGCATCTCCCTCATCCTCCCAGCATCCACATCCTTCCCCTAAAATTAACCCTTTCTCCCCTGCATTCACTCCCCTTCCCCCTTCCTTCCCACCCTGATCCGCTACTCTTGAGCTTTTTTCCCCTGCCTCCCTTCATTTCTCCCCTGCATCTACCCCTTTTCCCCCCTAGTCTTTCAATAGCTTTACTGCCATGTTCGTTGACACATTTCTTTTCTTTTTTTTTTGGGGGGGGAGGGGGGGCGGGCAACATGAGGTATATTTAGTTACGTCACTGAAGCGTTATCTGCATCAACGGGGGAGGGAGAGTTCCTGCACTTGGACATTTTTCGGATTCGTGAATGGGAATTTATACATACATATTATATATATATATATATATATATATATATATATATATATATTATATATATATATATTATATATATATTAATATATATACATATATACATACATACATACATACATACATACATACATACATACATACATACATACATACATACATATATACATACATACGCACGCACGCACAAAATCACACACACACACATATATGTGTGTGTGTGTATGTATGTATGTATATATAAT